TAATGATATCAGTGATTACCTTTATGATATTAATTGGGAAACCGTATTTGCAGATATAAATCTCAACACTGAACACGAACATTTTCTATAATCATTTGTCTTTAGCCATTAAAAAATTTGTACCATACAAATACCATCCTGTGAACGGTTACCCGATTTGGTTCTCTAAGAGCACAATAAGAGTAATAAAGGAAAAGTATAAAGCGCATAAAAAGTGAAAGCGTTGTGGAAATCAGTTGGACTATTTAATGTTTCGTCTTCTGCGCGGACACTCTAAATACCTGATTGATCAGGATTATAAGGCGTATATTAAACGTGTGTAGGATGGTGTTGGATTGGACACAAAGCAGTTATAGGCATATCTCAAACGCAGAAGAGGCGGTAGGGGTATCCCATCAACTGTAATTCTGGATGGGGTTGAGGCATCGGACGGCGATGTCATCTGTTCGTTATTTGCGAATTATTTTAGTGCAGTTTTCACAGCACCGTCTGCTCCCCATTATGATGCGGTGGAGACGGTTGATTCTTCGCGCGTATTCATTCATGACTGTGGTGTCATTGAAGTGGAGGGGCATTGCGTCAAGTAGCTTTGAATAAGGGTCCTGGTGCTGACGGTATACCTGCTATACTGGTCAGAAACTGCGCTCGGGCAATATCCTTTACAGCTGAATTCTGTGTCAGAAGAAAATCTGCCTATTATGCTGACGAAGCTGCAATAATCGCCAACTCAGAGAATGACCTGCAAGAACAACTACACAGATTCTATTAAGCAAGCGAAGTTTTGAACATGTCTGGTAGTTAACAACAGTCGCTTCGAACAAGTCGTAGAATTTCCTACTTGGATGTGCACATCTCAAACAGTAACGACAAAGGACTTAAGAAGTCAGATCAGCAAAGCGTACGCAATTTTAGGTTGGATTTATAACATGCGAATGGATAGTAAAGTGCAAGACCTGCGTTCCTCCAATAAAGACTTACGGCATAGAAATATGTGAGCCACAAATAAAACTGAGAGAACAAAAATAGAAGATAATGAGTAGCAGACATGAAGCACCTAAAGACTATCTCAGGAAGGCTTACAATTAGATGGGACCGAGAATTGCGATATCAGTAACCAATGGAATTTTAATACAATCACGTCCGTATTATGCCGGCTAAGAGACTATCGAAAATTGTGCTTACAAATAGCAAGTCCTGCACTAAACCACCAAAGAAATGGAGAGATAGACGGCAAAAAATTGCTCAGGAGATATTTCAGAGGCAAATCTTAGTGAACAGACTTAACGATCTAGAGAGAGAGAGAGAGATTTTCTTTTTTGATCTCCTCTTATATTCTTTGGAATCTATTTGGACAAACAGTTGCAGTGGTGAAACCAATAACAGATTTATTTATTTATTGATATCGGGGAGTAATAGCAGGACAAACCCAATTAAGTTGCCAAGTTGAAAAACGAGTGGCGAAGCCATCAGTTTTTTTAATGAATGACTGCTTTAAGTCTTATGAAACGTGTTTGTTATGCTACCTTTTGCCTTTTTTTTTCTCAAGAATAAAATAAATTTTGACAAAGTAGGAAAATAGGAATGTAGCAGTTGGTAACACCGTAACAGTTGAAAATAGAAATTTGAGTTGACAATTAGAAACTGTCAAAACATAAAATGTATTCACCTGATAAAAATGTTTCATGTACCTTCCCTCTCTTTTGTTTAATTGCTGATGTTGCAATCTCTAATTGGTTGAGCCATGTGTTGGCCAATGAGGACTTTCCTCGAGGAAAGAGCGTCCAGGGGGTAAAGGTTTAAATATTGAGGAGGAGCGCCTTTTAGGACAGTTCGGTTTGGATTTAAATTAATTTCTTCGGCGAAGCACCCTATTCGGTTTCGGTTAAGAGTCTTAGTGGAAAGTCCGAGTAAGACTCCGGTAATCCTTAAGTTTGATGTAAGTTATTTAATTAATAATTTATTAATTAACTTTTATTCGATCGGATTAAAATTAAAGTGTTATACTTTTTGACGAGTCGCTCCTCTCAATATGATCGCTTTAACCCTTGGTAAGTCGTTAATGTTTTATTTTATATATTAACTTGTAAAGATTGTAACTAATTGCTTTGGCTTCTTCTGATTTGGTATGAACGTACGTAATATTCGATATTCTTTTGAATTATTCTTTTTATTAAGTTGATCATTGTAAGTTTTGTTGAACTTAGATTTTGTTATAAAGATTTTCAAGTAAAGCCAGGAAAATTACTAGATTAAAATTTCTTTTGTTGTTAATCAATATAAAGTTTTCGAGTTATTTTTGTAGCTAAACTTTGTTTGTTTCAATTTATTTTAACTTTCATTCTGTTTATTAATTTTAGTTAGTATTTTATTTTTTTTGCTNGTATACCTGCTATACTGGTCAGAAACTGCGCTCGGGCAATATCCTTTACAGCTGAATTCTGTGTCAGAAGAAAATCTGCCTATTATGCTGACGAAGCTGCAATAATCGCCAACTCAGAGAATGACCTGCAAGAACAACTACACAGATTCTATTAAGCAAGCGAAGTTTTGAACATGTCTGGTAGTTAACAACAGTCGCTTCGAACAAGTCGTAGAATTTCCTACTTGGATGTGCACATCTCAAACAGTAACGACAAAGGACTTAAGAAGTCAGATCAGCAAAGCGTACGCAATTTTAGGTTGGATTTATAACATGCGAATGGATAGTAAAGTGCAAGACCTGCGTTCCTCCAATAAAGACTTACGGCATAGAAATATGTGAGCCACAAATAAAACTGAGAGAACAAAAATAGAAGATAATGAGTAGCAGACATGAAGCACCTAAAGACTATCTCAGGAAGGCTTACAATTAGATGGGACCGAGAATTGCGATATCAGTAACCAATGGAATTTTAATACAATCACGTCCGTATAATGCCGGCTAAGAGACTATCGAAAATTATGCTTACAAATAGCAAGTCCTGCACTAAACCACCAAAGAAATGGAGAGACAGATGGCAAAAAATTGCTCAGGAAATATTTCAGAGGCAAATCTTAGTGTTAGTGAAAAGACTTAACGATCTAGAGACAGAGAGAGAGATTTTTTTTTTGATCTCCTCTTATATTCTTTGGAATCTATTTGGACAAACAGTTGCAGTGGTGAAACCAATAGCAAATTTATTTATTTATTGATATCGGGGAGCAATAGCAGGACAAACCCAATAAAGATGTCATGTTTTTAATGAATCGTATGAAACGTGTTTTTTATGCTATTTTTTGTAATTCGCGTTTTTATCCTTTTTTTATTCTCAAAAATAAAATACATTTTGACAATGTAGGGAAATAGGTACATATGTAGCAGTTGATAACACCGTAACACTTGAAAATAGAAAATTGAGTTGACAATTAGAAACTGTCAAAACATAAAATGTATTCACCTGACAAAAATGTTTCATGTACACCTCCCAAAATAAGAGAAATTGCTCAGAGTTCCATGTCCTCATCATTGTGGACTTTGTATTCGATGCTAAGAACGTGTTTAAACATCCATAGACAAACATTGTCACATTGACAACTAGAAAACTTAATGACCCAATGTCACCAACTTGAGCTGGTTCCATAAAATGTTACTAAAATCTCATTACAGCATTGGATGCTGTAACGAAACCAGCTGCCAAAATAGCTTTTTTTATATTATTGTGCCTATTAACAGGGCCTTTAATACATGTATTAAAATTTAGTATTATTTGGTGTAATGTTGCGTTAATCTTTGGTATCCACATGTTTTGATATGAGGAATTGAACTTATATAATTTTTTAGGGCGGTTTATAGTACATACCAGAGCAAGCACCTTTTCGAATTGTTTTTGTAGTTCCGGATCCAGTGGTTCCGAGAGTTCCACCGGTTCTGGTTGTGGATTTAACAACACAGGTGGTTCCGGCGCTTCGGACTGCGAATTTAATAATTCCGGTGTCACTTCCGGCTTCGGTTGTGGTTGATGTGGTTCTATTCTCGGGGGTTGATGTTGTTCGCGTTGTTTTTCCAACGCTTTACGTCTTTCTTCGATGTTTCCAGCTGTTGCGTTGTAAACAAGAGGGCATTCCTTCCTTAGCCGGTTTTCCATCGGATTTTTGGGTCCTGCGCACTGAAGGACTGTATAAGCCGCTCCGTCTCTTCCTCTGTCCATTTTACTGAACCCGGTTTCTGCGCGGGTGGGTCTTCGCGTGGTGTTTCGGGGGGGGCGGCATTTTCCGTTGCAGGTTGTTTTAATTTTAATTGAGTTACCTTCTTTTTTATAGCTGCGGCGGATCTTCCAGTTAGCTGTGGCATTAACCTGGATATATTTTCTTTAGTGGTGGCTTCAACTGCTTCTGCCGGGAATGTTTCCAAATAATTTTCAACTATTTGCAGTTCGGCTTTCTTCCACGTCGCCATTTTTGCGAGGCACATTCACTTAATTTTCACTCTTCTGAGCACGTAGGGAACTATGAGTACGTTTATATTCCATTTTAATAGTTTTTTAAAAAACTTTAGTAACGTAGTTTCTTCCAAAGGACACGAGTTCAGCACAAATCGCGAAAATTTCACGAGCGACCAAAAAGCGTGTCTTAACCGTAGGTGGTTCAATGGTAGAATGCTCGCCTGCCACGCGGGCGATCCGAGTTCGATTCCCGGCCGATGCAATCCATTTTCTTTTGATTTCTTTGTTATTAACTAGGTTATCATTATACTCGATCTAGCTACCTAGAAAGGCATGAATCATCAGCATCGGTGGTTCAATGGTAGAATGCTCGCCTGCCACGCGGGCGATCCGGGTTGGATTCCCGGCTGATGCATTCCATTTTTCTTTTGATTTCTTTGTTATTAACTAGGTTATCATTATGCTCGATCTAGCTACCTAGAAAGGCATGAATCATCAGCATCGGTGGTTCAATACATTTATTCGCTATATACAACTACTACGACATAATATAATAATAATTCATACATATCATAGATATTGACACGATGATGGTACTTCTCATTGTTCTTCTTCCTGCTTTCCGACGTGTTTCATTAAGATTCTGGCTGTTCCAGTCAATGCGCTGTAGGCAGCTTTTTCCAACAGGGATCTTATTTGTGTTTCTGTTACACCCATTTCGGCTAACAATGACCATAGCTTCTTTTGTGTGTCAGTTGATAGCACCTCGCCAAAAACCCCTATCGCCATGACACCAAACTTTACTGGACAACGGTTCATCTGACGTAGCTCATCTACCAGGTTGGCATCCCGCCCCACAGTGCTGTAATTTAAGTGATCGACATGAGTTACTGAATTTTTTGCATACCTTGTGATCTTCACGGCTTCCTGGGTTTCGTAGTTTTGGAGATGAGGTATCACCACTTCGAAGACGTAGATGGTTGTTTTGTCTTCTTTCTCGACCTTGACCAGTACATCTGGCTTCTTATGATGGATACGTTGTGGAGTCAGAACCGGAATGCCACACGTAATATTTATTCTTCTGCCCTCGGTCGTATATTCGCAGTTCAAATTAGCTCTTCCAAATTTGAGCTGATTTTTGACAACCACTGGCGCCTTCGTTGCTTCGATGATGGTTCTTATTAGCCAGTATGCCACGAAATCATGTCGCTCGGCGTAGTTGTGTTTGCAGGCCGTTACTACATGGTAAGCTGTTTCTTCGTGGCTGCGACACCTCCTGCAAATGCCTCCATTCTGCTTTGAAATTCCCCTCATTGCGAACCATTGCTCTTCTGCTGCGGCGTTGAGTAGACTCAGCTTTGACGAGTCTAGCTGTCTACATTGAATGGCCGGAAAGGAGATCTTATTATAGTATTTTACTATCAATTTAGGGTAAAACATTGACTTTGCCCATGTTTCCTTTCTTTCCCTGTCATTCTGCTCATAGATCGCCTTGATTATTGTTTGAGCAGCTTTTCTTCTATCAGCTTCGTCGGTCGCCTCGATGTTCGTTACTTTATATTTTTCCAATACATGTTGGTAGTCGCTAATAGGGGTTCTGCATTTTCCACGATTAAGGCACTCGTAGTACTCTCGTGTGACAACCAGTTCTTCGTTGTTTTGGAGATACCAGTATCTTCTTACGTAGTGGATTGCTGTTTCCAATGCAATGCTTTTATACCCCAATCCCCCGACTGATGTGGACATGTAGAGCCGTTGATTGGACGTCGATCTTGTTTTTATCTGGGCTTGCGTTGCTATTTTGCCTATCTCCTTGTCCAGACTTTCACATGTCAGTAAGGTAGTTGCGACGGACTCTTGCAATAACACGTTGCCAGTGACATAGATCGCCGCCGGGATGGTAGTGCTGTTAAAGATTGCTCTTTTCTGGAAACTGGACAACCGCGATTCCATGATGGTTTTCGCTTGTCGTAGGATCTTCTCTTCAAGTACCTCGATGTTGACATTTTGATCTCTCTCAATCTGGAACAGGCCTAAGTGTTTGTAGTTTGTGTCTACATATGGTAGATCCATGTCGTCTACTTCTTCTGGTTTTAGGTTTCGGCCGTATACTGCACATTTTGCCACATTGAGAGAGAGTCCCAGTTCTTGGGCGGCTGTCCGCAGCATCTCGGTGATTGCTGATGCTGCTTTCTGGTTTCCAGTATGTACTTTTATATCGTCCATATATGCTATGATGGTCATGCTGCCTCTGCTTAGTTTGGAGATATTTTCATCATTTTTGATCGCATCTATAAAACACTGGCAGTGATCAGATTGAATAGTAATGGACTCAGGCTATCGCCTTGGTATATTCCCTTTTTTACCTCTATGACCTCTCCTAGTTTTTTCCGGCCTTGTATTCGGACATTCCATAACCCCACGATGGTTTTCAAAATTTTCTTTATTGCTTCCGGTATAGGTAGCGCGGCTATAATTCTTCTCAGTACATGGTGGTTGATGGAATCGAAAGCTTTACGAAAGTCGTACCATGTTGAGATGTGGGGACGCCTTCTCATCCGAGAGATCTGGGTTTCCGCCCTGTCCATTAGAATTCCCTGCAGAGTTCCCCATGTCTTTGGTCTGCATAGTTGTTCTGTGGGGATCATTTGCCCTACTGACTCCACCATTATATCCGCTATGACTCCAGTCAGTATTTTGTAATCGTTGTTAAGAACCGATATAGGGCGGTAGTTGGCTGGATCTTTAGTATCCCCAGATTTATGAAGCAATGTCAATCTTGCGACTACATCTTCTTTGGGTAGGGGATATTTTCCATGCAAGATGTCGTTTACATGATTTGCAATGTATGTTCTGGCCGCTTTAAAGATCTTATATAGGTATCCAGGTATAATATCTATTCCTGTGGCTTTCCATGGTGCGAGTTTCTTTAATCTGTTGGCAACTCTGTCTTTTATCTCACCGGGCTGTATCTCGTCTTGACTTCTATCGAACCGTCGTAGTTTTTGCAACCATTGGTTGTAAATAGGTGTTTTTGTCGAGTTTTTCCCGTTTTTATACAGATGTTTGTAATATTCTGTTGCTTCGGAGAGCTCTAAATTCCATGGTTGCTCGTTGTCTTTGTTGTTTATAATTTTTATAGATGGATTTTGAACGTATTTTTCCCGGATTCGACTTTTTTCATAATTCTCTTTCTGCCAGCTGATCTTTTTGTGCAATGTAACGATTCTATGCTCTAACATTTTTATGTAATTGGATGGAGTTAAGCGGAGTTTTTTCATAATTCGACTTATTTGGCATTGTTTTGGCTTAAGCTTTTGATTAATCAAAGATCTTATCTCTTTAGCAATATTTATTCTTTTTTCGAGTTCTTTAATATAGTGGTTCAATGGTAGAACGCTCGCCTGCCACGCGGGCGATCCGGGTTCGATTGCCGGCCGATGTATTCCATTTTTCTTTTGATTTCTTTGTTATTAACTAGGTTATCATTATGCCCAATCTAGCTACCTAGAAAGGCATGAATCATCAGCATCGGTGGTTCAATGGTAGAATGCTCGGCTGACGGCTGACACGCGGGCGATCCGGGTTCGATTCCCGGCTGATGCATTCCATTTTTCTTTTGATTTCTTTGTTATTAACTAGGTTATCATTATGCCCGATCTAGCTACCTAGAAAAGCATGAATCATCAGCATCGGTGGTTCAATGGTAGAATGCTCGCCTGCCACGCGGGCGATCCGGGTTCGATTCCCGGCCGATGCATTCCATTTTTCTTTTGATTTCTTTGTTATTAACTAGGTTATCATTATGCTCGATCTAGCTACGTAGAAAAGCATGAATCATCAGCATTGGTGGTTCAATACATTTATTCGCTATATACAACTACTACGACATAATATAATAATAATTTATACATATCACAGATATTGACACGATGATGGTACTTCTCATTGTTCTTCTTCCTGCTTTCCAACGTGTTTCATTAAGATCCTGGCTGTTCCAGTCAATGCGCTGTAGGCAGCTTTTTCCAACAGGGACCTTATTTGCATTTCTGTTGCACCTATTTCGGCCAACAATGACTACGGCTTCTTTTGTGTGTCAGTTGACAGCACCTCGCCAAAAACCCCCATCGCCATAACCCCAAACTTTACTGGACAACGGTTCATCTGACGTAGCTCATCTAGCAGGTGTGCATCCCGACCCACAGTGCTGTAATTTAAATGGTCGAGATGAGTTACGGAATTTTTTGCATACCTTGTGATTTTCACGGCTTCCTGAGTTTCGTAGTTCAGGAGATGAGGTATCACCACTTCGAAGACGTAGATGGTTGTTTTGTCTTCTTTTTCGACCCTCACCAATATATCCGGCTTTTTGTGATGGATGGGTTGTAGAGTCAGAACCGGAATGCCACACGTTATATATATTTTTTTGTCCTGAGTCGTATATTCACAGTTCAAATTAGCTCTTCCAAATTTGAGTTGATTTTTGATAAGTACTGGCGCCTTCGTTGCTTCGATGATGGTTCTTATTAGCCAGTATGCCACGAAATCATGTCGCTCGGAGTAGTTATGTTTGCAGGCCGTTACTACATGGTAAGCTGTTTCTTCGTGGTTATGACATCTCCTGTAAATGCCTCCATTTTGTTTCGAAATTCCCCTCATTGCGAACCATTGTTCTTCTGCTGCGGCGTTGAGTAGACTCAGCTTTGACGAATCTAGCTGTTTATATTGACTGGCCGGGAAGGAAATTTTATTATGATATTTCATTACTAGTTTAGGGTAAAACATTGATTTTGCCCATATTTCCTTTCTATCACTGTCACTCTGCTCATAGATCGCCTTTATTATTGTTTGAGGAGCTTTTCTTCTATCAGCTTCGTCGGTCGCCTCGATATCCGTTACTTTATATTTTTTCAGTACATGTTGGTAGTCGCTAATAGGGGTTCTAACAATGCTAATAGGTGGTTCAATGGTAGAATGCTCGCCTGCCACGCGGGCGATCCGGGTTCGATTCCCGGCCGATGCATTCCATTTTTCTTTTGATATTTTTGTTATTAACTAAGTTATCATTATGCTCGATCTAGCTACCTAGAAAGGCATGAATCATCAGCATCGGTGGTTCCTGCCACGCGGATTCCACCCCGAATCCCTGAAGTGTTCGCATGGTACCAAAAACCGCTCCGGTCTGAGCAGAATTCTCAGAACTCCAGAGGAAGCTTGCATGTACCNTCATCAGCATCGGTGGTTCAATGGTAGAATGCTCGCCTGCCACGCGGGCGATCCGGGTTCGATTCCCGGCTGATGCATTCCATTTTTCTTTTGATTTCTTTGTTATTAACTAGGTTATCATTATGCCCGATCTAGCTACCTAGAAAAGCATGAATCATCAGCATCGGTGGTTCAATGGTAGAATGCTCGCCTGCCACGCGGGCGATCCGGGTTCGGTTCCCGGCCGATGCATTCCATTTTTCTTTTGATTGCTTTGTTATTAACTAGGTTATCATTATGCTCGATCTAGCTACCTAGAAAGGCATGAATCATCAGCATCGGTGGTTCAATGGTAGAATGCTTGCCTGCCACGCGGGCGATCCGGGTTCGATTCCCGGCCGATGCATTCCAATTTCTTTTGATTTCTTTGTTATTAACTAGGTTATCGTTATGCTCGATCTAGCTACCTAGAAAGGCATGAATCATCAGCATCGGTGGTTCAATGATAGAATGCTCGCCTGCCACGCGGATTCCGGAAAGGAGATCTTATTATAGTATTTTACTATCAATTTAGGGTAAAACATTGATTTTGCCCATGTTTCCTTTCTATCGCTGTCACTCTGCTCATAGATCGCCTTGATTATTGTTTGAGGAGCTTTTCTTCTATCAGTTTCGTCGGTCGCCTCGATATCCGTTACTTTATATTTTTTCAGTACATGTTGGTAGTCGCTAATAGGGGTTCTAATCATCAGCATCGGTGGTTCAATGGTAGAATGCTCGCCTGCCACGCGGGCGATCCGGGTTCGATTCCCGGCCGATGCATTCCATTTTTCTTTTGATTTCTTTGTTATTAACTATGTTATCATTATGCTCGATCTAGCTACCTAGAAAGGCATGAATCATCAGCATCGGTGGTTCAATGGTAGAATGCTCGCCTGCCACGCGGGCGATCCGGGTTCGATTCCCGGCCGATGCATTCCATTTTTCTTTTGATATTTTTGTTATTAACTAAGTTATCATTATGCTCGATCTAGCTACCTAGAAAGGCATGAATCATCAGCATCGGTGGTTCCTGCCACGCGGATTCCACCCCGAATCCCTGAAGTGTTCGCATGGTACCAAAAACCGCTCCGGTCTGAGCAGAATTCTCAGAACTCCAGAGGAAGCTTGCATGTACCCAAAGTGCCTACGTGACATTTAGAACGCGTAAAAATCACTCCAAACAAAGAACAATAGTGCCCGAAAGGAACACGTGCGCGAACAAAGACCCGGCCGAGTCTTCCTCCCAGTGATAAAGACACTACCTGTTTCTATCTCCAACAAAAAACAATAACAGCAAACCCCAATACCCGTAACCCCGCAAACCCCACCAAAAAACGCACGTTTCCGGCCGTACTCATCCACATCGATGATACAAACCCCGAAAGAGACATACTCTTATAAATTCCTTAAGACGCGAAAAAACCGCGTCCCACACCCACACTCCAAAAGACGAATGAGAGAAGGCTTTTGTCCTCAACGGCCGCCCCAATCAAATTTACATGGAGGACATCGTCAAAGAACTACAAGACGTTTACCAGATTAAAGCCACAAAATCCTTCAGAATGAAAGAAACGACACAACCAAAGTATCTGGTGACAATCACCAACATCATAAACATCACAAAGCTCCAACAAGAAGCCAGGTACCTCTTCAATACGAGGGTATTCTGGAAAAACATCCGTAACAAGAAAGCAATAATCCAATGCAAAAATTGCCAACTATGGGGCCATGCCACTGCAAACTGTTTCGCGGCCCCCAAATGTGTTAAGTACGCAGAGAGCCATAAAACCGCCGATTGCGAAATAACACGCAAAAACGGCAAACCGATATCCTGCACCAACTGCGGAAGTAACCACACGGCCAACTCCACAGAGTGCGTCAAGTACCAACAAGCTATCAAGCGAACAAAAGTATCTATGTTAAATTGTACCCTATATCTTATTTTTAGTCTTTCAATTAACTCTTGCCTGTCGAGGTTTTAGATTTATTAATTTCGTGCATGTACGTATCTATTCAACAATCGTGAGTTGAAATAGATTTGTGTATTATGGAATTTCTTGTGATTGTGTCTTCAATAAATTCGGTAATGGTTTGAGAAGTTTTTTTTGCATTTGAAAGACCATCATTAACAACCATGACATCGGTCTTTATCACATACTAGGCATGTTTCTTGTAATTGCGAATTTCATTTCGTTGTGTGGTGATTGCCCTTACATTTTCCGCATGTCAAGTGGCTATCACAGTTTTATGTGGTATGTGTAAAAGCTGAACACTTAGTACAATGTATGGGTGTTGGGGGAGGTGCATCGCTTACTAGGACCACGTAGTGATTATGCAAAAAGTATAAACCCTCTTTGACAAGACGTTGAAAACCACTTCTTCTGTGATTAATCTATTTTTTCTTGTTAGTTGCAATAACGGTGGTTTATATTTTTCGCAATAATCGATTAATTAATTCAATCAATTATTAATTTCTGATAATTGATTCTTCTTTAATGTGGAGTTCGACATTGCGTATGATAGGTAACTGAGTAGGAATCAGTAAATTGGGATTTAGGTCGAAGTGTGTAAAGATGGCCTTTATAGTTAGAGATATAACTTGCTTTTAAAGAGTCTAAAAGGATTTTTCATCGTGTTTTTTTTGGTTTGATTTTAATTAAACAAACCTTGTTTGTTAAGGAAATGATGTCGCTATTAGTTTTACATTCATTTCATGTTTCTGATCATCGAAATGTCTGTATCACTGTGTAGTGAGATATAAATTCTAAGTTTAACTTCCTCGTCTTATCACTGTGTGTGAATGTTACTTGTTTTCAAGTTTTGGTTGTATTTGGAAAAGTTTCTGTCAGATTCAGTATGTGTTTTGTTTAGGGTATTTGTTTAGCTGTTATTTGTGTTCTCTGAGGCAGCATAAATGCCTCGTATGACGTATTTAATGTTGTTGCCGTAGGAGCTGGTTTCTTCGGGAAAGTTTTTTGGTTCCGTTGTTTGCATGGCCGATCAGCTTATAGTAAACGTATTAATCAATTTGGATCAGAAACTAAAACCGAATCATCCTGAAGAAGAAACAATAAAAGTTTCGAAATATTGATGTTTTAAAAATTTAGTCCTTTTTTTTGTGGACCTTAAATCTAAAGTTAAAGAAAATAATTTTTAAATATAGAAAAATATTTACTGAAAAATGTTTCATTCTTAGATTAATCGGAAGACACAAACAGTTTAAAAAATAGTTATTTGTAAAAATTTGCCTTGATTAAGGTAATCAGTTGATAGGGCTAAATTAGTTTTGAAAGATGTTATTATAAGATAAAAATCGGGGTCTCATAGTATCACCATTTCACCATATTTGGCGAGTTCAC